GACAACATACGCAGCAGTGATTTGATTAGCTGTCGATCGATCTGGAACATTAAAAATTTTAATGCATATGAGAGAACTAAAAAAAGAAGCTAGCGGTTCCCTCTGATATACTTGCCTCCGATGGATGATTCCCACCCCTTAACCGTACTTTATACTATCTGGGTTTACAGTTAAAGGATGAAACACAGGCAGACCTTTTTCAACATATTCCTTTCTAAATGAACTTTCAACAAGCCATACGGTTTTTTGCCACCTGAATCGCCCTTACAGTCTCCTCCTTCACATCATAACTTTCCCACTTTATTAAACTAACCCCACCCTAAATTTAAATTCTCGAACCTTGACAGCTCCACATTCTGTTTTCCTTCGATTTTGTGTTCTCTTGTTTTTAAATTTTTTGTTCGGCCTAAAGGCCGCAAATTATAATTCTTCAAAAACTACGTATGAATTCTCTCCACAAGCACAGATCGTGACAAACAAACAAACAACGAATTTCATGTCTCTACCGTAAAATTCCTTAAAATTTGCGAATTCTTGAAATTCCAGTGAATTTTAAACACAGGCCGAACGCAGCTTGCGAGTAGGGACGAGAATCATCAGTGTAGCCATCTTACATTTGCCATGCATATGACGAAAATTGTATAAGACCGGAAAAATGGAAAAAAATGGAAAGACGAAAAAACGTTTCACAGTGATGTAATCAGTAACTATGCCATTTCCTTTCTTCTTCATTTCATGGTTGTTTTTATTGATCAACGCTGCATCGCCCAGTGACCTTGAAGTCCACTTCATGAGATACCTCGCCATCTTGCAGTGGTAACACTTGAAGATGAAGTGGTGACGTTCAGTACGCACTATCGATATTCATACTTGAATACTTGAGTAGTAGCTGTATTTCATCGATTTTCATTGTCACGCCATCGATTCAACTGACACTTTCTCCATCCAACTCGTTGTTGCGCTCTCCGAGACCACGCGATACTGTACAGGTGTACCCACTGGGGTCTTTTCACTTCACTGATGGCCTCCTCAGTGTTCGTTTGACTGTGCTCTAGTACCATTCCATTATCCGCTTCGCTCATTTATTACCTGTCATCCGAGCCACATGACCAGCCCATCTCTTCCTGTTGGCGTACTTTGCTTTGGCAATGTCTTTTACGCTAGTTCTGGTTCAGAGTACTTCATTCGGGATGTGTTGCAGCCTGCTGGCGCTAACCACCGGTTTGTATTCATAGCTCAATGTAAATGCACAAGGAAAGATCAACTGTTCAAAGCAATTATAACAAACCTGTGCACCACTTCTCTCACTTTCAATCATTCTGAGAACGCCATCAACACAACGCTTTCGAATATGTGTATTATTCATCACTTCGTTGCAAAAAATTTCCAATCCAAGATCCCTGGAACAATAACAGATTTTTTGCTAATGCTACGTTTACTTTTGAACGTTAGAAAAGTACTAGCAAGAATGCCAGGACCACTCGGACTATCAGTGTGGAGGACTTTTGTTCATGACGTTACAAGGATGGTCCCGCACGTCGAGCGCATCTTTGCTAGGCCTTTCGATCTTGAGCTGCATGCCTTCAGTAAGCATCCATCGTACGTTCCAATTAAAGGTTGAAAAGAAAATATCAGGAGAAGAAGGAAACAATGAAAAGGAGGAAAAGGATAATAAAACGGGAAAGGGGTCTGAAGAAAAGGAGTCCAATATTAACAATAATTAAACAGAGAACATTAGTTATCGGTGGAAAACAAAGGGATGCTGAATGAGCAAGTGTAGAAGGGAAAAAAGAATAAAAATTGAAGGGCTACGGATGGCTGAACCAAAATTGGACGGCCCAAGTAAGGTCATCGAATAGGGTGAAATTGTCAAGTGGTTTTTTTGCAGCCGATGGTAGACCGAACCATACCTTCTGAACTAACGGCCCGTACAGACCAAAAAAAAATTCAGAACGGCTGAACTCCTTAAGTTTTAAGGGTGGAAGATAGTGGGTTGTTAATGTGGTACAAACCTTAGACATGTTGAATAGCCATGTAACCAAAATATTCAGTACAAAAACTAATCGCTTTTACAACCTGCTGGTCCGCCAAAGAGATAAGATGGCCAACAGGTCAACTCTAAGCAATCCTTGAAAGAGAAAGCCATCGATAGTCAGCGGTTGGTGCTGTTGGCAAAGTACGACCACTCGGACCCCAACCACGAAGTTTTCGCTTCTCAGGAGTAAAACATGGGTCTTCTACTCAAACGTTCGCACTCCTGGATGAGATTCGAAAATTTTTCCCTTTTTTACTTATTTTTTTAAACAATTCTCATCTCTTTGGCATGTCAAAAACACTTTCATCCAAAGATAATGTAAAGAAAACGCGCTAAAACATACCAAAGCGGTAACATGTTGGGATAGCGCATAATGAAGGCACGATCCATATACAGAAATAAGCCGCGTATATTATTCTGAAAGAAAAAAGACAAATAATTACGAAACAGAAAATTCGTAAAGAACGCATTCCCAAACCGAAAACGAGCGCCCATGTTCTCTTACGTCTTACGTACTTGCATATGAAAGATATTCCGACAAAGATGATTTCAGAAGACAAATAAACTAAAAAGTTGAAATTTTGAGGCGGTATTCCCTGCCCATTCAAGTGCGACTCAAAAAAATTAAATTTTTTAATCTTCACATACTTTCACGCCTTATAAATGCGTTAAACTTCCATTAAACCGTCTTAAATACTTGTT